TATGACCATCAGGTGGGTAAAGATTGAACGAGTCGTTCATTTGAACGAGTATTAAAAATGAATCGTGTGATTCGATTTACTGCTTAGAATTCGGTTCGTTCAATTGAATCGAGGCCGGCACGGATGTATAATATTTAAACGATGAGCCGTAAGAAAAGAATCGTGAGAATTGAATCGGATCACAATGCGTTCGTTCGTTCAAAGAGTCGTGGGGATTGATTCATGTTTACCATACGGTTCGTTCAATTGAATCCTGGCTAACACGGATGCATAAGATTGAACGATGAGCCGTAAAAAAAAGAATCGTGAGAATTGAATCGGATCACGAGGCGATTGTTCGTTTTTACGACGCGGCGGTGGTATAGGCATAGAGTCAGGCATCAATATTTAGACTTGAACAAAAGCCCTAAACAAACATCATAGGCATCCAATGCAAACGATAATGTTATTTACAAGAAAACAATTTATTTATATTGTGCTTAGTACGGGAGTACGAATGGTAGCCAGTTTTTATGCACCCTTATCTATAAAAGTCGATTTTTTTACAGAAAGAACTGGCTTTGCCTTCGCCTTAAATAAAAATATGATATTCTTGTGATAAGTTTGACTTATCTTTGTTATTTAACTTACCTTGTAGAACCCATATCCCATTTTTCAAACTTCTCAAACAAGCGTTCATTGAAACTTGTCTTTGAAAATCAACTGCCTGTGACAATTTTACAGCTATCTCTGTCAACCAGCTTTGGGATCTTGTTTGATAATTAAACGAAGAGCCCGCTTGTACCTCTCTGTGATCTTAGAACGACGCACGGCGGGTTCTCGTTTTTGCCTGGATATTTCCATTATTTTTGTAAAAGTTTTTTATTCAACAGATACGTCTATTAAGAATTAAGAACGTCAAGGGTTTCATAAAATGCCATATTTTTAAAAACTTCAGGTTTTATAAAGCACTCCATCATTGTTTTTGCGACTGATTTAACAGTGGCGTACATATTGCTAATTCGAGGATTTTCAAATTGCATTTGCCAATTTAAATTAATAAATGAGGGCAAAATGTAGTCTAAAAATTCCAAATATAATTTGTAACTTGGATTGTTTAAGGATTCCAAAATGTTATTGGTACGAATATCGCTCCTATTATTAAAACAAGCATCTGTAAAATATAATACAAGGGTATAATACTTGTCTAATATTCGTTTAACTACACTGAGTTACTGATAACCACCGGTGTTTCCCGGACACAATAGATCTTTGGTCGCGGTGATTAAGCCCGCTGCCCCACTCTAGAACCACCGTGTTTGGCAAGGATGTAATATTTTATAAGCTTTTTTGTTACAAAAATCCTGAAATGCTTTAAACTGTGAAGTTCTTTTAGGGCTGTTGCTGAAATTTTTACGAGTATAAATATATCTAGAAACAAAATCTCTTCAACAAAACCGGGAAGTCTCTCACAAGCATTTGACGCACACAAAGCGAAACTGTATCATACGCATTTTAAAATAAATATTTCTGTACTAGCTGCTAAAAATTTAGATGCTACAGTATTATGACGTCCGATCTTATCAGCTGCAAAACCAATAAGATTTTTAGTGTAAGGAATTTTATTTTTATCAAAAATATTATTTGTCTAAGTAAAACCTTCGCTCGGGTTGGAGAGTCACAAAACGGCCAGAAATACGGTTAAGCATCATCTCGCTAGAGGCTTGGCACTTGAAGTCGTCCATGAATGCGATGATGTAGTATTTTCCCGTTGTAATTTTGTCAGCACTCTGCACTCGTACGTGTGTGCCCTTTGGTGAGATACTGTAACGTCACAAAATCCGCTCAAGTTTCTTGATTTATAAACCACATGAGCCATGTGTACAAGATCCAATTTTTGTTTTGTCTTGTATAATTATCTGTCCAAATAACAAATTCTTTTATATCTCGTCTAGTATCTTCCTAAAAGAAATATTTAGTGACTTCCTTTTTAACGCAGCAATAGTTAAAATAAGTACTGTGAGGCGACTTACAAAATGATTATCTTTTACGACGGGTATATTAGGAATTAAGATGACCTTTTGCAAATGCATGGAATATATTCTGTCGTTTTTACTAGAATCTGGTATTTTACTCTCCTCACGACCTAGTGGCTCCTTATATTAGTGGTTTCGCATTGCTGTTGTCCTGTGACTTATTTTTTAAAGTCTGGTGACAAACGTCAGATTGAAGCACGCATAATGAAATGTGTATAAATTTCATAGTCTTCCTATACAACTCAATCTTACACACCCTAGGATGTTCATTTTGAAGTTAAAGTTTCATTTTCTCTCTTCATTTTCAAGTCCTAAGGTAAGTATTTGATATTCGGAGCATTGAGCCGTCGATAGTGTGTAATATAAGTTTAACTCGTTTGCTACAGTCTTTGGATCACTAATAACTGCATTGTTTGTGATCAGTTCGTCTATCGTTCTGATCGCACATTTATTTTTCACCAGGTTGTTAATTAACTTCCATTGTTTTTTAAGTCAGTTCCTGCTTTTTCCCATTTCCGTCTAAAATATATTTGTCAGGTTGTTTGTTTTTTTTTGTTTTGGTTTGGGTAAAAGGAGACATTTCATTTAGATTAAAGAAAACAATAAAAATAATTTCATGAACTCATATTTTAAAAATTAAGCTTTTGAACTTAACATAGAATTATCATAAATACATGCTTGTCACACAGTGTTAAATAAATTAATGATAAATGTAAAACATACAAATTTAACAAGAAAAGTAACTAATTGTAAGTATCCTTGGACTATTTCCATGTTTTTTCAATTTCTTTAAAGGAAGGTTGCAAAGTTATATTATTTTCGCCTTCAGCAAACACTTACATTAGAATGAATTTCACGGCTACATGCTCAATCTTGGGATTCTTTGGCCATCTAAAGGAGCTTCCCAGTCGATCTAGACAAAGTTCATTTTAACCTCTTCAGCAGAAGTGATTTTTGTTACTAATCCAACGTACCAAGCTTTTACAGTAGTTACGGTAAAGTAACGGTGAAGTAAATATTTGCTTTTATCATTATAATCTGGTATTTGTGAAATAGTCTTAGTGGGTATCTTTTCATTGGGCTTCTCTTCTTCTTGAGGTTTATTCTCTCTTCGTAGTTTTAAAATGTGATTTTCAACATTAGTTCGTTTCAAGAAATTTGCGAGTGTCTTATTATCACTGTGTCCCATACTTTCTTCCATTTCCTTTTCTACTTCTTTATCCCCCTCGGATTCGCTATCTGAATGACTTTTCCTTTGAACTCTTTTCTTCTTTGACTTAATTTGTGGATTATTTTCTTTGCCTTTCCCTATTTTTCGTTTCGGTGTTTTGGTTCTTCTCTTCTCTTCGTCCTGACGCAAGCGCTCTAAAACCTGTTCTGAAGTTAAAACTTCTCCATACTGCAGTTGCTTCAGACGTATTTGTATTTCTTTAGTTATGGGACTAATTGAATTTTCCACGTTAATCGTTATTTGATTAACGAAAAAGTCAATAACACTCCTTTTGGTGATATTATAGTCTTTTGGTTCAACCAAAGAAACATTGCTGGTGGAAGTCACGGGTTCGGAATTATCGACATCTGAACCTTTGCTGGTGGAAGGAACAGGTTCACTATTATCGACGTATGAACTTTTGCTGGTAGTAGCTACAGGTTCGGTAACTGGATCCTCTAGAGGAAATAATGTGTCCTCACCCGTTACATGTTTCTTGATACTAGCCTTGTACCTAGCTAACGCAGTTTGGTCATAATAGTTTTCAGGAAATTTTTTCAAATCCGCTTGTAAAGAACCCGTACCAACAAATCCAGAAATGATAATATCTGGCATGAAATATTTCACCCATAAATCCTTGACAGAGAAATATTTTTTAGACATTTTGTTCTTATTACTAACACCTAAACATTTTCTCATTTCTGTCAGTAGGATTCTATTCCATCCTGTTTTAAGAGGACCAAAAACAGAAAAATCTAGTGGCTGCAGTCTGTGCGTTAGATGGCTAGGGAGACGAAATAAAACTATGTGGTTGTCTATGGCAGCTTGTACAAGTCTTGCGCTGATGTGGCTTTTGTATCCATCAAACATTAAGAGTGCTTTCTGAGTAGGCTCCACACTTGGCAAGGATTCTTTAATTTTTTCACGTGTGATATAAATTGACCAACAAACCAACTAAAAAAGAGTGGCTCTTCCATGTATCCTTTAGTCGTCGCCGAATATGTAGTTCCTGGAAAATATAAGCCACCTCCATCCTAATTTCTAAGCCACGTCCATCTTGGTAATACCGCACTTCCTTGAAAAATGATATGAGGTGGTAAATAAGAACCTTCGGCGCTAACGCAACAATTGATTGTTATATTTTCACGACTTGTGCCTCGAATGCGTTGATAAAAAATTGCTTTATTTTTTTCGCCAATGGCCCTAATTTTGGATGGATCTGTACATAAGCCGGACTCAGTCACAGTTAAAGAAAAGTTTAGGAAAATCATTAAATGAATTATCTTCAACAATTTTCTGTAACTTGTTAAAATGGTCAGCTACAACGAATGGATCATACGCTTCTGCCCTCTTATTTTGTAAGCTTTGACGTTTCTTTAGGGATAACCCAGGGTGGCGACCCATAAAATTTTTTTACCAATCTTGACCAGGATTACCTTGCTGAAAAGGAGTCGAAATCTTTGATTCTTGACAAAATTTCTGAATGTTATTATAAGAGTTCTTCTTTATCCCAGGGATAACCGAAGTCGGCTCTCGCCAAAATTAACTGTTCCAGTTGATCCTCAACTTGCTTTGAAATGGCATTCTTCCGACCAGAGCGGAGGGTTGTTTTTCTTCCATTTATACGGTTAAATATAACGCTTATTGGGACGCCATAATGTTTTGAAGCAGAGCGATATAAACGGCAGTGATTTCTTACATCATTTACGGCAGCTATTACGTTTTCTTTGGTATAGGACATGTCTGGTTTCTTTTTAGTATAGTTTCGTACCATACTAAACGGCTTTTACCTTCGACGGCTTCTGAACAGTGGAGACACCAGTTTCGTCAATATTGTAAATATTTTGTGGCTCAAATCTATATCTTTCCAAGACAGTTTCCAGTTTATTAAAAAAGTTTGAAACGTTCTCCCTATTAAAATTCATGGCTCGTGCGAGGCTGGTAGTTTGAGGGGTGCGCAACGTTAATCTCGGATTTCTTCTGAAAAAAGCTGTGAGCCAATCTTCACTAACCAGTTCTGCATCATTCCATTTTAGAGGACAATGAAGCCGGTTAGCAGATGAAAACTGAAATGCAAGTTTTCGGAGATCCTTTGTAGTTAATCCAAAATATAAATTAACAGATTTTTCGCAGTATTCGACTAGCTGCGACTCCTGTTGAACAGTAAACACCCTATTGTACGGGCTGTATCCTACTTTAGGCTGTAACCTGTTACGTAGAGCATTCACATAGCGACTTAACGAGACATGGCACATTCCCTAATCTTTTGCTGTTTTTCTAACAGACTGTTGATTGTCAATCATCTTTCTGGCAGATTCTTCATAAATAACTTTGGGTGTCAGTCCCCTTTCAGTATATCTAGTTCTTGGTTTTACCATTTTTAATCTTAAACTGTAAAAAATAATATATTATTTAGCAAAACAGTAAACAGGTGTCAATAGTAACACGTTACAATCGACACCATGCGAAAAATGTGGGTGAGAACTAATTTGACACTGCATTTGTCGGACCAGGTGTAAAGCAGACGTTATTGCCCAAGCAAAACAATAATTATCTTGGTTTTCTACATTGACAACAGCACCCTTATTTTGAATAAACTTCGGCAATTTGATATAGGAAGATCCACCCATTGAACTATATTTATTAATATTAACTTCTAAATACATAATTCGATGTAGTGCCCAACCTTGAAAAGAAAATTACATATTAATACACTTATGTATATTGACTAATAAATTAATATACCTGAATCTTTCTCTTGAAATTTTGTTGTCTGTACGATTATCTTCTCAATAAATATTTGAAAAATATCTTCAAAATCAGTTGCCATATCAATAATTTCGTTGGCGGTATTAAATGACTTTTCACTAAATTCTTCCGTAGACGGTAATTGATATAAAGCAAAGAGTTCCGTATTTATTTTAATAACATTATGAACCCGAAGTATTTCATGAATTAAATTAATAATTTTCGATCTGATCTCATTAAAAAAGGAAATAAAATCCGTATAAATGTTATTACTAGAAATTCTATAACTTGCGATTCTAGATTTGAAAGCACTCCATATTATTTCTACTCCATCAGATAACGGTGCAAAAGCATTTTTTCTATGCTGTTACGAACGCCTGTGAGCTGTCATATGGTTTGTAGCCACTTCTACATTACATATAGAACAAATTTGCTTTTCAGGTGATTGTGGGATATAGTCTAATTTCAACCGTTTACTTGCAACACCATCATTTAAATGTCTTCTAACACATGATTCGCGTTGATGACGTCGCATATTATAACTTGTAGTAAATGGTACACCACAATTCTCACAAAAATACATTTCTTAAAAATTTTCTACTCTTTTGCCTAATATATTAAATGGTAAGATATGTATTCTCGAGTCTTTATAGGCCAAATGAAGTGACACCTGATATTATCAGCCTTATACTAAATCCACCGTAAAATTTTCCTTGAATGAAGACTAGAAGACCCATACCCTTCTTTTTAACCTTGAAAGAGATATAGTAAACCTCTCTAGCATATAAACACCTACATACACACCTTCAAGACCACAAACCATAGGCGGCCAACCTTTTTACAGACAATAAATAAGATGAATTAAGGAATATCTAACTAAATACATAAAAATATATAATATTATATCTACATATATATGTATACAAACTTTAAACTTATATTAATTAAAAATTTAATGGGCGTCATACCAAAAATAATGGTGCGTCATAATCTTAAATTATTGGATAATAATAATTTATTAATAAAAAATTCACAGATTTTGCAACATGCGCAACCATCATATGCGTATTGAAAATACCAGACAAAAAGGTCGGCGGTGGTCGGCAATCACCTGTTTTTTACATTTTATATTAACTTGTGACGTAATTTGGAAGAGCTCAATAGAAATATAAAAGAACTAAACCTTGGTTGGAAAGCAATTTGACATTCGTGACGTCAGCATTCTGTCAGTCTAACGTATCGCTAATCGCCAGTCGCAAATACTAGGGTCGGCATTACTCGTCTTGGGTGCCGATTTTCGTGTGTATGAAACGTAAAATAAGATGTACTAAATAAAGACAGAAGGCAAGTATTTTCCCAAGCACATGGAATCTAGCGTCAGATTAAAGTGATTATAAAATAAATATTTCGTATTTTGGCTCTCTCCGACTTAGTAGATTAGCGATTCACTCCTATACACGTAAACACCGACCTAAGGTTTTGCTTGCCAGTAGGGTATATTCCAGATACGTATAGTGAACAAGTGAACCGTTCGCAACGTTAAATAATTTTGATATTTGATTTTTATCGTGATGGCTTTTTATAAAAGTGAAGAATTTATTAAAAAAAATATTAATGATGGAGATGGACGTGTGGGATTCATGAATGGTCACGATCACGGTCACTACACTATAGGAATGTGAGGTATGTATATACATAGAATTAATGGCATTAATTTGCAATAGCACCTGGAACCCACAGTTTCATTATGGAGCCAGATTAAACCAATCAGAATGAGTATTATGTTACCGTAAAAGCCCGAATATTGGTTAAACGTAGGGTTACCCACGTAGGAGCCCGAAATATGCAAAAAATGTCAGTTTAGGTTAAGTTTAGATTAGGCCTATATTTTTATTAATGCAAATCCAACTAAAACCTAATTCTAATCTAACCTAAACTCACTCCCTCTTTTGCATATTTCGGGCTGTTACCTAGGTATTTCTAGGTTTAACCAATATTCGAACTTACGGTTAAATTCGCCGTACAAAAAATAAGCAATAGTTACTGTAGATAAAAATAAATTAAAATGTAGTTCCACGATAATTTAGTTTGCAACTTCTTTTCATCATACTTAATAAAAAGCAAATCACAACCACTACTCACTGGTATGTATACCTATGTATTTTTAAACATCATTATGAGATTTTAAGTAGACATAGGTGCCCATAATATGAGTAGCGGTATTGACGGTTTTTTGTTATGATGAAAATGTTGTGTGATATAAAAGCAACAAAATATATTATCGATTGCAGCAACTATACCTAGTTTACCTTCAGTATGTCCAATTAATATAGAACATTATAACTATGCATGATTTTAAAAATTTGCTACCATTATATTTTGATAGTTGAGTTTTGAAATTATTATTTTATAATTATTATTTCTTAAACAAAACAGACCCATAATAATTCAAATCTTTATGATCCAAGACTTCCAAGAATTATAAAGTAATCTCACGTCAATTTTTTTAATTATTGCATGCTTTAAATGTTTGCAAAGTTAACAAAAATATTTCTTTGAATACCTTGCAATTAATATATTTGCTATTTAATATTATCAGTTTCCCCATTAAGCCTATTTAATATTATCAGCTCTGCATCATATCCGAAATTCAGATTGTGTGTGACACAACGAAGAGTCAACGTGCAACGTGAACGACAAGAAAAATGGCAAGTAAAAAACTTGTAAAGTCGTAATTACTAATTACACAGTCCTTCCCTTTGAGTTCTCCTGCCTAAAATCTATATTGCCTTTCCTAAGATTTTAAATATAAATGATTGAAACTCATACAAGTTTACCACAATTTAAACTTAAGATAATTATTTAATTATTAAATCCATAATTATATTAAAATATAACACTTACGAAGTTTCTAAATATTAACTATTTCTACTTAATCCAGTAGCGTAGCGTAGGTCCCGCAGCACCCGCAATGGGGCCTCGTGATTTTGTTTACTAAATACATATATATGTGAACAGCGTCCCCTACAATTTCCAAAAAATGTTGTGTTGATTTATTTTTAATATTTTATTTTTATGTTCCTTTATTATTATTTTTTTCTTATGTGGAATAAGTTTTTTTCTTGTTTTTATATTTTAAATGACTTTATATACGTACATAAAGCTATATTATATTTTTAGTGTGTTTTATTTTTTATTTTAATATAAGGGCACCAAAAAAAAATTTTGCGGGGGGGCCTCATTTGAAGTTACGCTACTGACTTAATCATTTAATAATTCTGATAAAAACACGCTTGATTATTTATTTTAAAAATCATACGGGCTATAATCATTAATATGACTATATTAACAATACTTAAATAAAAATTTATTTGAAGGAATGTCATAACCGTAATGTAATGTCATTACAATAAATTGTAAAACAATAAGTATCTAATAATAACTCGGAATAACTATTAAAAACTGCTCATCGCGTTATAGATGTCGGCGTCTTGTCTCTATTATTTTATTACCCGCTTAGCTATAGTTTGATTTCAGATAATGCAGATTTTAATGTGCCATTTATGTTTTTTTTATTAGAATTATTATTTTTAGCATATTTTGTATACTCTATGAAGTGATTTTAAGAAGTGTTCCTGTTCATTTTTCAATTATTAAAGTGCCTATTTAGATACATTCAAAATTAATTAATTAATTGGTGTATAGTATTTGTATTATGGGTTTGTTTATTTTTTATGAAATGTATTTTTTTCCTATTAAAATAAACATAGCTTACTAAATCACTAGCTAGCCATTTTTAAATACAGGGTGTTAATTAAGTATCTGGCCAAACTTCAGGAGATGATTTTTTGAGTGTTTTTAAGGTAAAACGTTCATATAAACATGTGTCCGTAAATGTATAATTTTAAAGATATAGGGGTGACAATGTGTTTTCTAATAGACCTTTTTTATTAATATCTCAAAGATCCGTTGGCCGATTTTGTTGAAATTTCGCCGTGTTGTGAACTTTGATAAGTTAGCACTAATTAAATGATAATTATTTACAACAATATTCAACCGATAAAAACTTCCATTAAAAAATATTTGGCACCGCCTTGGATTCATTTGTTTTTACGCCTTTTGGCGGTGGAAACCATGCAAGCTTTTTCTTTGTTCTAAGTTGTTAATTAAAAAAATAATAATCATATAAAAAAATATAGGTCCTAATAGTCTAAATTTTATCCTTGTTTATAATAATATACAAGGATTTTATCAAAATGTATCAGCAGAAACGATGAGACCCGAGTTATTATATGTTTTGGAACTTAATGATTTAATTAATTATTCCCTTTAATACATCGATTGTGCGCATTATCCTACGCCCCAAGAAAAAATATTGCATTAGTCTAAATTTATTATTTATGTTATTCCGCTCTTTCACGTATAATTTGCCTCTTGATTCTCATACGGAAAGAGTTAGATTTTAATAGCCCAACTTTACCTAACAACCCATGCCTTGACGCATATT